AAATTGATGAACAAATACAAATAAGAGAAAGAAATATGAGGATTGCCCATGAATTAAAAAAAAAGAAAGAAAGAAAACTTTAAGAAATTAACATTGGGGGCTTCCCTGGTGTCTCAGTGGTTGAGAATCCGCCTGCTAATGCAGGGGACACGGGTTGGAGCCCTGGTCCGGGAAGATCTCACATGCCATGGAGCAACCAAACCGATGTGCCACAACTACTGAGCCCGCATGCCACAACTACTGAAGCCTGCACTCCTAGAGTCCATGCTCCACAACAAGAGAAACCACCTAAGTGAGAAGACCACACACCGCGACAAAGAGTAGCCCCCGCTCGCTGCAACTAGAGGAAGCCCGCAAACAGCAACAAAGACCCAATGCAGCCAATAAATAAATAAATTTATAGAGGAAAAAGGAAAGACGTTAACATTGGTATACGATTAACTAAGAAACAGACATTATTTGGATTTCACCAGTTTTCCCACTAATGTCCCTTCTTTGTTCCAGAATCCAAACCTTGATTCTACCTTGCATGATGGCAACTAGAGTTGCCATCTCTACACAGTCTCCTCTAATCTGTGACAGCTTCTAAGTCTTTATTTTTCTTGAGCTTGACACTTCTGAAGAGTATTGATCAGGTATTTTGTAGAGTGTCCCTCCATTTGAGTTCTCTTCATGATGAGACTGGGATTATGGATGTTTGGAAAGACTGCCAGAGAGGAAACGTGCCCTTCTTATCACACGTGGTATCAACTTGTTGCTAGTGATGTTAACTTTGATCATTTGGTTAAAGGAGAGTCTGCCAGGTTTCTCTACTGTAAAGTTGCTATTTTTTTCTCTTTCTCTTTTTTTTTTTTTTTGCGGTACACGGGCCTCTCACTGTTGTGGCCTCTCCCGTTGCGGAGCACAGGCTCCAGATGCACAGGCTCAGCGGCCATGGCTCATGGACCCAGCCGCTCCACGGCATGTGGGATCTTCCCGGACTGGGACACGAACCCGTGTCCCCTGCATCGGCAGGCGGACCCTCAACCACTGCGCTACCAGGGAAGCCCTCTTTATCTTTTTTATTTTATTTTATTTTTATTGCTTTGTTCTTTTCAGTTTTTCCAAGTCACTTTGGATTTGTGTTCTATTGATTAACAAAGGAATACTGACACCTGTTACTGAACTTGAGCTCCCAAAATGCATTGTGGCACCAACTACTTGCTGTTTACTCAGGAAGGATAGATGAGACCATCCGCATTTTTCCAAGAAAAGCTCAGTCACTTTTTGGGGGTGGGGTGGGGAAGTCCTGATGACTGACTGGATTTTCAAGTCTTTATTAGGCAGCAAAATACTACCTCAGAAGAGAGGAATGGAGCAGGGTTATTTCCAGAGTTTGGATGGCATACCAATCTCTTTCATAGGGAGTGTTGACTCTTTTTTTTGAGTGGAAGTTTTTAGAGTTATCTTGGAACATCAAAGTATGCACCGTGTAGAATATCTAGAAATCTTGTAGTTTATTCTTACTTCCTTCATCCTATCTGTACATTTGCTACTATGTGCAGTAGGGCATGTACTCCAAGAGAACTTTGGCAAATTAAAATTCCTGGTCCTTGGGCTACTTAATTTACATTTCACCAGGAGCTTTCATGTCAGAATCCAGGGCATAATCTCACTACCATTCTGTTCTTAACACTAGACAGGTACTAGTAAGCACTGTGTACAGCGGAATTTAAGCAAGGCGAGTCCTCATGGGAGATGCATTGTGAACACTGAACCTTTACATTTGAGCTATCATTCAGTGTTGCTCACACTATCATCCATTTCTGTTATTTTTCTCTTAATGAACATTTCCGCTTTCTTCTTGGGTGGAAACCCGGAAGCCTCCAGACCTCATCGCAAGAAGGCCTTGATTATTCCCTGGTGCAGCTTCAGTGCAGTCACTGATTACTTGACCAGGTCTTGTGGCAGCTGGACACCAACTTAGGACCAAATAACGTGTGTCTTAAAGAGATCTAACAGTTCCCAAGATTTTAAAGTTCACTCTGTCACATTCCTTATATTCCTACTTCCACATTAGTCTACCTCAAACCAGTCACAAGAGGGACAAATGATTTTAATCTCCTATTACCAAACTCTCTCACAGCTTTTAGGGATATTCTTTGTAAATTATATTGCTCCTGGGCTCTTCTTAAAGATCATTATTTTCATTCAGAGATTTACTTTGAGTAGTCTTTCATTCAGCTTTCCTTCTTTTTTTGCTATTCTTCTCATCTGAATATATGTCTACTATAAAACATCATCTGTACATGAGCTATAATATGATTGTTTGGTTCTGAATTGTATCATTAATGTTATAGGTATTTTTCTAATAGGCATTCTCTCCATGATTTTGTTTTCTAAAGTAATTAGAGTGGTTTAAGTCCTGATTCCTCTGTTTACTTATTGAGGTGAAATTCATGTAACATAAAATGAGACATCTTAAAGCATACAATTCAGTGGTATTTAGTACATTCTCATTTTTGTGCAGTCATCACCCTGATTCCTTTTTATGTTTGTGTATAGCAATGAAAAACCTTATATAGGCCCCAAAAGCCTTGTATATACTGACAGGGCGAGCTTTTCATTGGCTTCAGAATTTGTGCGCCCCTGCTGGAGGTTAGTTAGTTTCCTCCAACAGCGAAGCAGTGGTCCATTGGGTTTTGTTTGTTTTTTGCGGTACGCAGCCCTCTCACTATTGTGGCCTCTCCCGTTCCGGAGCACAGGCTCCGGACGCGCAGGCTCAGCGGCCATGGCTCACGGAACTAGCCACTCCGCGGCATGTGGGATCTTCCTGGACCGGGGCACAAACCTGTGTCCCCTGCGTTGTCAGGCGGATTCTTAAGCACTGTGCCAGCAGGGAAGCCCCCTTACTGAGATTCTTGAAATGTCCTTATAATTAAACAAATGCTTTTTTAAAATTCTGCAGAAAATGTCGCACACTCATCTGTTGCCCAGTCTACACAAATATCAAATCATCCACCGAATTATTCCCTTTTCTTTGCCTTCTTAGGAAATTAACCTTGCATGAGCTGATCTTTCATTGATTAACGATTTAAAGTGATATAGCAGGAAGTAGTAGGGTTAGTCAATATTAGGATATTGATGATTTTTAGCTCATCAGGCCACCTTTGAGAATTCTACTTAGCGTATGTACTAGCTAAGGCAGTTCCAAAGCTTATTGCTTAGTGTCTATTTGGAAGCTTTTAAAATAATTGAACTAGTGATGAAGTCATGAACTCCCTCCCAGGCTTTCCTCATGTGCTCTGGGGCCTCATTCTTCCTTCAAGACTGTGGGAATTGCCCCAGCTGTTTTGTCATATACATATATTTTCTCTAAAATTCCTTTCCTTCTTGGAACAGTTCCATTAGCATTTGCTTCCCATCTACATGATGCGGATCGGCGCCTTTTTTGCTGGAGAAAAATGGAGTCAACACATTAGTGTGAAGGAATTGTAGCCAGGCTGTACCCAGGCCACTTGAGGACTGCTCAAAGGTAGAATCCTCAACAAAGGAACTGTCATGAAACAAGAGAGAACATGTGCACACAGAGAAAACTGGCTATCTAGTGCCACCCTTGTTTTGTTCTCTAACCAGCTAAAATGTGAAAGGGTTTTGCTGAATGTTATTTAGAAATGTTTAGTATCATGCAGTAGATTCTAAATTCAGTCTAGAGACTTTTTTGTTCTCTCAAGCGAGTCTCCATCTTCCCAAGAACAACCAGAAGTTAGAGCTCATAGGGAATGTTCACTGATGGACCAGATGTTAAATCTTGTATGTTTCCAAGGAGCTCAGTGCGCTGTGTCAGGGAGACTGCTGTCGTCGTTGCAGCAGAGCTGCTTCCTGGGATGGAAGGAGTGCTGTTTCACCTCTGGCAGGGCTTCTCAGCCCCTGCTCCCCTCACACTTGGGCTGGATAGTCCTTTGTTGTGGAGAACTGTCCTGTACATTGCAGGCTGTTAAGCAGCATCCCCAGCCTCTGCCCCCTAGGTGCCAGTCATACCTCTTCCTCTCTCCCCAAGTTATGACTACCCCGATGTCTCCACACATTGCTAAGTGTTCCCTGGGGGCAAAATTGCCCATGATTGAGAGTCACTGATCTTAGGTTTCTTCCAAAGGCAAGATGAGGTTCCTGACTCTTAACCAAACCACCTAACCGCAAAGTGTTTTTTCTTCTTCTCCCAAGTAAGAGCCTAGAGAAAGAATTCTTCTGCTTTCATGTGCAGATAGAGAAACAGGCACTCTGATACCATAGGAATCGGTCAGAACCTGAACTGCATTTGGCGTTGGCAGCCACTCGGGATGGCAACTGATGAGCCAGCAGTGACCTCCTTACTACCTGCCCCTCTTGTTCTAATTAAACAAACTTTTACTGTCTTTCTGTTAATGAGTCAGCTGGTAAAGAAAACACTCTTCTTTTGCCAAAGCTTTTAGGAAGCAGAGACATAGCAGAGTTTTGTACACGTAAGTTCCTGTTGTACTGACTTTTTCCTCCTGGGGAGTGGGGAAGGATATCAGTGAAAATAGAAGTGCCAGCATGGATGTGTAGCTATAGTGAGTAATGTTTTTCCAAAATCCAAGATTTTCTTCCCAAAAATTACAATTAGAAAGCACCACTATTCTCTGCATTTTATAATAAAAAGTAAATTCTGATGTCAATAGAGGATTATAAAACCTCTAGTGCAGCAAACTCCACAAATTGGTCCTGGCAGTGGATTTTGTGGCAGCGTGCTAGCAACTGGGAACATCCTTGGCATGGCCTGTGATATTCAGGCACCTGAAGTGCGTATTTGAAGTGTTTAGCGTGGAATTTGTGTGCTGTACAAGTATTAGCAATTAAGAAAACGCCAGTAGAGTTTTAGAAATTAAAAAGACCGTGGGATAGGGAGTTCAGAGAGGCTAAGGACCAGAGCAAAGTCCGAAGATCTAGAGCTTTTGATGCCTCCAGCCCGGTCTTTTCAGTTGTACCATACTGCCTTCCAGACTAGCTGCTGGAGAAGAGCAGTAGAACGAACACAGACGGGGAGCCTTAGAAATGGTGGCAGATGCAAAACGCTAGAGGTGGAGAGAAAGCACAACAGCTTTAACTCCTCCAGAAATGCTGTGGCTGCCTTTTCTTGGAGCTGTGGAAGGTATGTCAGCATTGCTGGTTCAGGGCTATGAGGGGAGGGTGAGAAATCAGGTCTTTTTTTCTTCCCCCTCTTTCCTGCTGCAACCTGCAGTTTGCAGCAAGCCTTCCCAAAGCTTAATTGCCAGAGCAGTGCCAAGTGCACAGAAGCTCTACTTACAGTTCCCCCACTGAGAGATTTTAGTTTGGAGTTTTGCTTTAAGCTCTCTGCTAATCCAACCAGTCACGTATTTTGGAGAGAAACTACCAGTCTTCTTTTGAGAGCACAATGATTGCTCAGTTTTTCATGGTTTTCTTCCTCAAAGTAGATGCCAACCTCAACGTTACAGAAGAAAGCCTTTCTGAACATTATAGCAAAACTAGTTGGGTTTCCATAGGGTTATTAATAGCTTTGAATCTATTGTGGGCTATGAACAGTAGTTCACAGTCAAGAACAGTAGCCACCGAAGAGAACTGTAGCTGATGGTATATGTGGTTCAGGTGGATGGGCAGGCAGTTACTGCTACAGCTTGCCTAATTTACAGATATTAACACTTACATAAAAATTCATTTAAAAACTAGTGCCTCGTTGGTGAAACCCAGTGAGGTTATACATAGTATCATTACAACGTAATTAACTGGGAACAAAAAAGCATTAGAAAGTGCTGTGGGAGTAGAAGCCCCACGCTTGCCCATTGTGCCTTTGAGCCAAATGTAACACCAGCCTGAGAAAAGAATAGTCATCATGAAAATATTTTCTTTCCTTCCAAGTCAGGAAACAGACTCACAATGGAGTCTACTTCTCCATTCTGAATTTTGAGATGTGCAGGAAACAACCAGCCATTACCAGCTGAGGTTTTCCTGCTGATAAATGAACCCTGAGGCCACAGTGACCTGTCTTGTTAATGAGTTAATGAAGAATCTGGTCCTTGCATTGACCCTCTCCTTAAAAGCTTTCTTTGGAGCTGAAATAACATTCCTCTAATTTATGAGTTAACTCTTTCTTACTTAGCAAATGAGAAAGAGAAGGGGAGGAAAGAACCACGTGGCAGAGAAGTGGAGAATCCACCAGGGGGCTTTGATTTCTGAAATTTTAAAATTTGAACATTAACTTCACTTGCAGATAGAAATATCATTTAAAGAAATATTTTCCTCTTATTGAAGAACCTTAATAGAAGTGGTCTTGTATTTTTTATGTTGCATTTTACCCCAAGGCAATGACATTTTATTGAATGATTTCCCACCCATTACTCTGACAAGAAACTGCTTTGAATTGAGCAATGGAAGTATTTGATTTTTGTGTAAACATTTCAGTATAGGGAAAAGCAAAGGAATGTTTACTTCTGTAAGTAAATGTTATGAACCCAGCATTTATTAACGGAGGCAGATCCTGTCTTCAACTTATTGGAGAAAGAATAGTCTCCTTTAAATTAGGTTATCTTTAAGAGCCAGACATTATTTCTTCCTCCAAATTATTTTTTCTTTTAGTGATTGATTGTGATGTTCTATGATTTGAAGGTTGTTGTAGATACCTCTGTTACAGGGTCATTTCTCAGCTTTGCAATTCTAGAAATGTGATTTTACTAGTTGATTAGATTCTGATGAACTGATTCATGACTCATTAGGCTAGTGTTACATTTGGTTTAGAAAACCAAAGTGCTTGTTGATTAACTTACAGTTATTATTTCATTAACCAGAAGAGTTTGTCCTATTGAGGCATCCCCAAACCAGTACCTGGAAAATCATAGAAAGTGATAGGAGGCTTTGTAAGGAGGTAAGCAAAGAAAAGAAATCAATCGTCTTCTCCGTATGCCACTTAGAGACTTCTAAGGAATCTCTCTTCTACTGTAAGGCATTTATCTGTCAGGTACTTGGTATTGGTGGTTCGTATTTAAACACTCTCTACCTGGTCAGTGCTAAATGGCCACTGCTAAGACGGCTCAGGATGGTAAATTGAACACATGCTGCCACACATTTGCCCCAAATTCCTAAATATATCAGAAAGATACATGTTTTTAACAATGTTGGAAAAAAAGAATGTTCTGGATAATCTGGAAGTTTGAGGAATTCCTGAAGGACAGAAGGCAGATGGAATCATATTAAAGGTAGAAACCGGAATCCAGAAGTCCTGAATGTCCCACCCCTCCCATGTAATTACTGGACACGGCTGTGGTGAATGGTTGCAGCATTTACACACTGGGGAGCTAGAACATCACTTGAACTAGCACAAATCAAGCCACAAAAAAACCAGAGTCATGAGAGAAGCTCCAGACTCAAGAAATTGAAAAGCTAACATTGGAGGCTCCAAATACTGTAAATAGAATGTAAAGGAGACTTAAAGGGAAGTATGTTTATACCCTGAAAGGAATAAAAAGAAAATATTTCGGGCTTCCCTGGTGGCTCAGTGGTTGAGAGTCCGCCTGCCGATGCAGGGGACGCGGGTTCGTGCCCCGGTCCGGGAGGATCCCACATGCTGCGGAGCGGCTGGGCCCGTGAGCCATGGCCGCTGAGCCTGCGCGTCCGGAGCCTGTGCTCCGTGATGGGAGAGGCCACATCAGTGAGAGGCCCGCGTACCGCAAAAAAAAAAAAAAAATTCATTCATGAAACGAGAACAGACTCTTATAGGAAAGAATGAATTTTATCTCCTAGATCTTGGAAATAAAACATGATTGTTTAGCTAGAACCTCATTAAAGGGACTCCATAGTCTAATAGATACAGCTAAAGAGAATTAGTAGTGAGCAGAGGAAAGAGCCAAAGAATTTTCCTAGGTTATAAAATCATAAAGAGATAGGCTGACAGAAAAGTAACCATAACAAAGGGAGTCATTTCAGAAGTTTTGGGGTTCATAGAATATGAGTTCTGGGGGTAAGAGAGAAGAAATGGAGGGGGGAACAAATACCCAAAGAAATAACAGAAGAAAATTTCCCAAACAGAAGAAAATAAGACCCTTAGAATGAAAGGGCCCACTGTGAATATATCAAGTTAAGAGGGCTTACTTATATGTTTTACACATATAATTGAAGTCTCAGAAGACTAGGATAAGGAAAAATCCTAAAAGCTTCCAGATAGAGAAAACAGTCCAGCCTATAAAGAAGCAAGAATCGTGTTGGTATCAGAGTCTTATTGGCAACTCTGGATGCAAGAGGATGATGAAACAACATATTCATAGTTCTGAGAGAAAATACTGTAGAACCTAAGAGCCCATACCCAGGGAAGCTATCCCTCAGGTATTAAGGGCCAGTGAAGGCATTTTTCACGTGTGCAAGAACTCAGTTTCCTGCTCATGATTCCTATTTTATAGAATTACCAGAGGGATGTTGTCCAGAAAAATTAAAGGGGGAAACAAAAGAAGCATTGATAAAGGGGGAGAAAACTCAGCAGAAAATGCCTTAGGTCAGTAATCCGGAACTTGAGCAGCTGTATGCTCCTGACAGCAGTGACATCTGTAGACACAGGCGAAAGCAGCCGCCCAGAGCCCTCGGTCACGGTCTACTCTGACATCCACTGTGGATGCCACCACAAGTCCAGGCCTCCAGATTGCGCTCATCTTTAAGATTCTTATCCCCACCACGTCCCTCCCTATCCTTTCATACCTGCATGTAGTTTGAGCTCAGTGACCTCCCTTCAGTTTTGTAGGAGTGGAAAAACTCTCCCTTCTTCCCTCCTAGATCCTTTGGCTAGTCTAATAATTAAATTGACATAAGACTGATTAACAGGAGAAAAACAAATCTAATTTTGTACGTACCAGTGCCCCACAAAAATATGAGACTCAAAGAAGTGACCAAAACAGGAAGCTTTTATACCTTTTAGATAAAGAAACAATAAATTTGTGAAGAACTGACAAGACAAAGGGGTTTGGGCTTGGGGTAGTAAATTGGTGAAGAAGTAACAAGGTTGGTTTATTCAGCATTCTTGGCCCTGGATTCCCTATATCTGGTGAGAAGGATGCCCTCTACCCTTCTGGTACCTTTCCCGTGGGAGGTTATCTCCTGCTGATTACCGGGACAAAGGAGGATCAGTGTCCTTCTTTTACTGGCTATTTCTCAAGTACCTTTAATTCAAAATATCAATAGGCCAAAGTGGCATATTTTGGGATGATACATTCCGAGCCCCTGCTGATTCAACTTCCTTGATGAATAATCCCTTTACCTTATGCCTTCACTGAAACTGGGCCAAGTGGTCCCCTGGAAACACTGCTTCCCCTACAGCAACCTCAGGGGGCTGCTGTTTTTTCTCCTACACTTTTCATTTCCCAAAACCTGGAGTTGAAATAAATATCTTCCTTGTACCCCATCACTGCTTCCAAATTCTCTTTCCTCCTCCTTCCTGGATTTGCCATTGAAGTTAGTGGAAGTACTAAAGCATTTGAGCCAAGAACGGTAAGAGGAAATGATCAGAGAGTAGAACCTTTGAAGTAAAGGTTGTGGAGGTTTGTTGGATTGTCAGAGAAAGCCTATGCAAATAGGTGGCTGAGTTGGACTAAAGAGAAAGTTACCTGACTCTGAGAAATTTGAAAAATTGAGAGAACAAGTTTGGATCATCTGTGGATATTGAAATCATCTGATAGAGGCTAAGAACAAACAAGCTGTCAGTGACAAGGGAGTGACTGGAGAAGGCCGTAGCTGGTGACAATAAGGAGGGACAAGGGGCAGTAAAGCCTCAGGACCTGTGCTTCAAAGTAGGACAGTTTGCCCCCCCCACCCAAAAAAAAAAAGGAGAAAGTTTAGAAGCAGCAGCTCCGCCATCTGTCCAGCGCCTGTACCTGTGGATCCTGCCCTTCCTAGTACCGTATTCGTCCCCCATCCACTGCGTGCCCTGCTCCTCTCAGTGACCTTGCCTGTTCCTGTGTTTATCCCCTTAATCCCGCACCGTCATCTTCTCACTTCAGCTGGATCATTCCCCTCTGCAAACAGACCATTCTGATGTCACCTGCCTTAGTAGGGAAGTCCATTTTAACTAAGACACAGCACAGTTGAAGTCTTTTTATTTTATTTTATTTTTATTGAGGTATAGTTGATTTATAATGTTGTGTTAGTTTCATGTGTAGAGCAAAGTGATTCAGTTATACATATATATGTATTCTTTTTCAGATTCTTTTCCCTTATAGGTTATTACAAAATATTGAGTATAGTTCCCTGTGCTTGTTGCTTATCTGTCTTATATATAGTAGTGTGTATCTACTGATCCCAAACTCCTTATTTATCCCTCCCTCCCTTTCCCCTTTGGTAGCTGTAAGTTTGTTTTCTATGTTTGTGGGTCTGTTTCTGTTTTGTATATAAGTTCATTTGTGTCATATTTTAGATTCTACATATAAGCCATACCATATGATAGTTGTCTTTCTCTGTCTGTCTTACTCCACTTAGTATGATAATCTCTAGGTCCATCCATGTTGCTGCAAATAGCAGTATTTCATTCTTTTTTATGGCTGAGTAATATTCTACTATACACATATACACACACACCATATCTTTATCCATTCATCTGTCGATGGACATTTAGTTTGATTGAAGCCTTTTTAAAAGAATGCTGATACATTCCTAAAAAAAAAAAAGCCAAGAAAAACCCATGGCAAAGACCACCATAAACAAGGACAAAGAACAAACTAGGAGAAAGCCATTTGCAACTAAATCCAAACAAGGTACAAATTTCCCTAGTAAGAGCCTCTACAAATCAATAAGAAACATATCAACCACCCAGTTTTTAAAAGGGCAAAGAAAACTCACCAGAACGGAAATATAAGTGGCTCTTACACATTAGAAAAGACGCTGAGTTTCCCTAATAAAAAGAGAAACAAATTTAAATGACAAGGAGGTGCTATTTTTCACAAGATTGGCAGAGATCCCAAAGTTAGATAATAGTGCTTTGACAAGGATGTGGCTCTCCGTGTTTGTAATGGTAAAAGATTGTCATTGAAGTCCATAGTAGTGACTGCCTGATAAATTATGGTTCTTCCATACAATAGAACAACACGCAGCTTGGAAAAGAGAAAGTGCTCTATGTACTGATACACAGTGATCCCTGGAATACATAAATAAGTTAAAAAAGCCAGGAGCAGGATAGTGTAGAGGTATACAATCATTTATGTGCAGGATGGGGAGAGAATATATACAAATGTACACTGCTTGGATATGCATGAAATAGCTCTGGCAGGAAGAAGCAGATTTTAAAACTCTGACTTGCAGAGCTTTATTTCCAGACCCCAATAAAAACTAAATATATGGAGATTTAAGTGTTCAGATAGGAAATTAGGTCCTACCTACAGCTCTAGGAAATCAGCTTCTGGAGGAGATAGCCTGTGGACTGTCAGTGATTGCATATGCAGAGAACACTGCACAAGGACACCAGGAACTGGTAAACAGTTGTTGCTTCAGAGAAAAAGAATCGGTGGCTAGGGGATTATTTTGGTCATTTTGTATTTTGACCATATGCATAAACTAAATTAAGGTTTTTTCCCCCCAAACGGCAAAGAGTCACTGACAAGACTTATGGCAAATACATACTTCATGTTCTGATAGTCAACGTTTCATTGTAAATCAAGAGAGCTAGGAGTATTTGAAACCTGACTGGGGGTAGGTTACAGCATTTATAAGATGGGAGGCCAACATGAAATAGATGGCTGGCTCCAGAAGGATCACTGAATTAGTTGAGTCCATGGAATGTATTCACAGGGAGACTGATTTTAGGGGCAGCTGAGCCATTTCTCATCCTTCATACGCATTCCCTTAGCCCATCAACTGACCTGCTGAATAGGAGGTCTTCTTTTCTCCAGACTTTTTTCAGTTTGGTGGGGTTTAGATTGTGCTGGGAGTGTTCCACCTTTTGTTTTTGTTTTTTAGCCTTATTTTTAACAGTTTAGTGAGAGTAATTAAAAAGTGGGTCAAGAAGCTTCTTACTGTGCTTTACCTGGCCTTTTCTCCCTCTCTCTCCTTCGTTCTGGTGGAAACCTCCTCCACCCACTGCACCACTTCCAGCCAATGGTTTCTCCTATACAACACCAGGCTAGGTCTGCTGGCCAGCAAGCAGCCTTTTCCTGGTATCTACATCCCAGGGAAATACAGATAGATGTTTTTCAGAGCATTTCAGGCTTGGCAAGGTTGGCTGGACGGGTGGGATTGTTGCAACAGTTTGTCCTTATTATTACCCTCTTTCCTGTTTCTTTTCACATGTTTCTGTTGTTTTAAAGGGTTTTGTTTGGATTAATTAATTACAGGAGGAGAAAAAGCAAACCTTTCCACAGCTATGGTGGGCCAGGTGCTTTAAGAGGAGGCAAGTCATGGATGATTGTTGGCCTTTCCAGATGATCATGAGTAACTGATGCTGCAGTACCTCTCTCCACAGAGTCTCTTGCAGAGTATTAATGATTAACAATGTTCACGGCCTCTCACAGAGTTAAATTGGTCTACGTCTCAGTCACTGAAGTAAAAAATGTG